TGGGGTGGGGACCTCAATCCCCATCCCCGACCCCATCAGGTCGGGGAAGTCGGGTCCCCATTGGGGATGGGGAAAATTGCCATCCCTATAAAGCAGGCCAGCCTGAGGTGTAAACTATAAACCAACCTCAGTTCTTGATAAGGTGCAGACTGCAGACCTAACATATGATGGAAAATAAATTTTCCTTCAATGGTTTTGTGATAGTTCTAAGTTTTGGTTTACGTCTGGGCCAGTTTGACCCTGGCCTGAGGCCCAAAATATGAGTTTGGGCTAGGTATCTTCAGTTAAGCTTGATCTCAAACCTCGCTTGAGACCAAAGTTTGAGTTCAGGCCTCAGGATGAGCCAAGTTTGACTTGAAAGGGTCCAGCCTAATGCCCAACCCTAGGTTCAGGAATCATTGGGAAAGTTCTGTCGAGAGAGTCAAGATTAGCTGAACGTGATGGTTGTGTCAAGGGTTGTGTAAGGTGTAACCAATAATAATGCCCAAATGTCAATTATAAAGCGTGTATGCCCCACAGTTAAATATTTTAGTTTTAGTCACAAAAGGAAAATTAATCGCTAGTTAATAGAGGAGTCTACCTTTCAAGGAAACTTCCCCATCAAGAAAGCCGAATGCAGAAAAGGACACCTTATTTCTCACAATGTCTGGAGCTTCGACAACCTGAATCATTTCATTAGTTTTGAACACAAGACGACCCAATGCACTCCGGTAGCCACCTCCAGGTGATGTTGGCACCGAACAGTAAAGCACATCCCATTCTGAATATCACCCAATTGGATGAATCATAAACCATAAAGCATTTCATGCAAGGTACATTCTCTTCTATTTTTAGGATAAACATAACATGAAAAAACATTCCATATATATCTACATGAATTTACAAAGATGGATGAACAAGAAGATTTGATATGGTGTATTGCATAAGGTTGCCTGTTTCTACAAACTATTGTCTAAATTATCTGTTAAACAAATGAAACTACAGGGCAACGGTTGAAAACATAGACCTTGATACCTCGACAAAACCAAGTAGACAAGAGTCACACGACTTCATTAAATAGATTGCCATCTTATGTTAAGGGCTACAATCAGAGAAAATATTCTTATCAGCTATTATTAAAGCTTGTATTTCTCCATATAACTTCACAAGCAATGGCCATCTCTATGAGTTATATTGTGCAGCTAGTCCTAACACAGAAGACTAGTCATGTTTTGATGGGTGATCATCCTTCCGGACTTTGCACAAGTAGCTAGAGCAAATTTTGGGGAAGGATTTTGGGAAGTGCTTGTGGTGCAAAATTGTATTTCTGATTGTATCTAATAAGTAATCATGCTATTTCTAAGAAGTTGTTGCCTTAACACCTTTATAGATTGTAATCATTTTCCTTTTTATTTTAACGAAATTCCTTTTTCTTTTACTACCAAAAAATAAGGGAAAAATACAAAAACCTCCCCTGTAGTTTTACTTTAACAAAAGCCTCCCCTAAACTTTTAAAAAATTCGATAGAAATCTCCCTTCCGTTACTGACCCATGTTTCATAATTTTTTTCCAAATACGTACTGAAATAACTAACAGAGGTTAACTTCCTGGACATTCCTTGGTCAAATTTTAACTCAGTGCTAAATACCTTTGAGGGTGGAAGATTCCAAATAACAGTTAAAAGGGAAGATTCACTGACGATAACTGCAGAACCCTAAAGTGATGATATCCATAGTGCTTGAAGCCATATGGATCCAATGGTTAAACTTATCACGATTCTCAGTAGGAACGGAGTCTTTGTATTTATCACTAATTCACTATTTCCAGAACTAGGTCACTGAGAAACTGAGATGACAACAATTCATCGAAGAGTTGTGCTCTAGTCCCATCAACCTTGAGAGACAATGGAGATTCTGCTCATATGAACATATAAATGCTTTAAAAGATAATGGAGATTTTGTGTGTAGTGGGTTTATCGTTCGAGGCCTGAAAATTGGTCATTTTGGTTCTGGAAATTGGATTGTGTGGTCAAATGCTTCTACAAGCTCTCACAATTCAGAAACTGCCATTAATCTCTCCCTCTGATCTTTTTAAGCTAAAGGTGATACCCTCTATTTCGTTATTTCATCATGGGGATTAGAATTTCAAGAACAGAGGAGAAATTCATCTCTGCGTGCTGTGGAAAAGGAATCCCAGCTCGAGTTAGACCAAGAGAAGGCCTGAAAGGCACTGAAAAAACTCGACGAGCACCAATTGGCATCATATTTGGCAGCAACAATTGGCATCGTCCGTGGGAACGTTTTCAAGACTTCCCTCTAAAAACAACATCATTTAATCCATCAAGTTTCCGATATGGCTGATAAGCAAGACAACACTCTTAACGCTCAGAACCTAGTCATGATGAACCAATTCAAGTTGGTCCTAAACAGGTTGGACAACCTAGCCTAACGGTTGGATGAGGTAGGGTGGCCACCCCGTCGGAAGCCAGGGGCAATACAGTGGACGATCCACCCATGCACCACTGGGCCAACACCTAATCGGCCAGGGGAAGGCCGACCCCTCAACATTCAACAATAGCAGCCAACAGGCTAGCAAGCCCCCGCCAAAGACCTCTTGGCTCCCCAGCTGGAGAGGCGAACCCATGGGGCCCTACAACAACCATAGGGACCAAGATTGCCGGCATCGCCATGCGGAGAGCAACCGAGATGACGACGGGTGCTCCGGCCACTACAGTCCTCCGAGGGCTAGAGGCCGACACTACACCTCTCCCCCACTAGTGTCTGACCTTCGCAATCTCCTCAATGATCGCCAAGCTCGCAAGGCTCAGGATGTCCCAGCATTTGAACACTCCAGGAACAAGGCCAACCCGTTCCACGTGAAAGAGAACCTAGATGAGGTCGAGGCCCCGGTTGACTGATGTCTCGGTGACCTTCAGGCATAGATAGGCGCTATCCAAGATCAGATCCGACAGGTGAAGGAGGGCCGAGGTGATGCCTCCACCAGTCAGAACCTCTCATCTAACCGGATGGAGGCCTTCACCGACTCCATCACCTGGAAGCCGCTCCCACCCTAGAGACCTATGATGGGAGCACAGATCTGGATGACCACTTGGAAAGCTTCAGAGCCCTCATTCTCCTCTACGGGTACTCAGATGCCCTGATGTGCCGAGACTTCCAAGCAACCTTCAAGGAAGCAGCATGCAGATGGTTCTCCATACTCCCCCCTCGGTCCGTCAACTCTTGGGACCAATTTGTGGATCTCTTCCTCTCCCACTTTGTCAGCAGCCAATGGTGCCAAAAGACCATCGTTTCCCTAATGTCCATCAAGAAGAAGCGCGGGGAAAGCCTTTGGACATACATGGACTGATTCAAATTGGGAAGAGTTTGAAGTAAGGGATCTTGACCCCTTAGTCTCTATGCATGTGGCCATCAGCGACCTCCGACCCGGACCCCTCAGCTGATCCATCTCCAAGACTCCGCCCAGGAACAAGGCCGAGTTCTTGAAGAAATTCCAAAAGTACATCACTGCCGAGGCCGAAACCAACAAGCGCCTCTAGGAACTAGAGGCTGAGGCCAGCTGATGAGAATAAAAATTATCATATTTTTATCCTATCCAGAGATAGGATAGGATTAGAACTAAACTAATCATTAGGAATTAGGACTTTCTATTTTTGAGAAATGTTAGAATGCTTGAGTCAGGGGTATTTTGGTCATTCCGGTGTATCTTATTGAAAGTGAAATGTCTATTGTATCTGAGTTTAAGTTAAGTGTCCCATCTTCTATGAGGGACAAAATTGTCTTTCTTGTAACGCAAGTTTTCATGAATAAAAGTCAAGTGGGTCGGCTAGGAGAGGGACTTTTGAACATCCTCTCTTCTAGTCTGGCCGAACACTCTTCTCCTCTCCTTCTTCTTTCTCTTTTCTTTCTTCTTTCTTCTTCTCTACTTTAACCTAGAAACAACTAGGGTTTATTCACATGGTATCAGAGGGGCACACAGTTAATTTCTGCTATGATTTGCGTGGTCCACCCAACACTTGGGCTAACCATGTTACATCTAAGAGTAGTAGCACAATTACTGAAAGCCAGCAAACTGCCCCAACCCCCTCCACACCCACTTGTACTTCCGGGTAGGAAATGGTGAGTGTACCACGGGCAATATATGAGCAGTTTCTTCAAACATCTCAGTAGAACACAACTACACTTGCCCATTCAGGTATGACTTGTTTAGCTTTCAAAGCCTCACCTTGGATCATTGATTCTGGAGCCTCAGACCATATGTCTGGAACTCCTGATGTATTTTCTTCCCTTTCTCGCACCTCCACATCTCAGACAGTTACACTTGCTAATGGTTCTACATCTCCTATTTGTGGTGTTGGTGATGTTGATCTCTCCTCATTGTCTTTAGCATCTGTTTTATATGTTCCTAAGTTCCCTTTTAACCTTATGTCTATTAGCAGATTAACTAAGTCCCTTAATTGTTCTGTAACCTTCTATCCTTCTTTTTATGTGTTTCAGGATCTCAAGACGGGGACGAAGATTGGTGGAGGGCATGAAGCCGATGGTTTGTATTACCTTGATGGTGGTGGCCCTCCAGTGGCTTTTCAATCGTCTCTTACTCCTCTCCAATGGCACTGCAGACTTGGTCATCCCTCTCTCAAGGCTTTGAAGCTGCTAGTTCCTTCCTTGAGTCATCTTTCATCATTAGATTGTGAGTCATGTCAGTTGGGAAAACATCATCGAGTCTCATTTAGTCCAAGAATTGATAGTTGTGTCTCAAGTCCTTTTGTTTTAGTTCATTCTAATGTATGGGGTCCAGTTAAAGTGGTGTCATACAATGGGTTTAAGTATTTTGTAATCTTTGTTGATGACTTTTCAATGATGACATGGATCTATCTTATGAAAGACCGTAGTGAATTGTTCTCTATTTTTCAGAAATTTCATGCTGAAATACGCACTCA